AGTATAACCCTCTTTATAGCTAGCTGAGCAATCTGGAGTTTCCTCATGTGGCCAGTGGTGAAGAACTACATTTAGATCCATACGTCATCACTAGCAACACGCAGTGGTTGTACACACTTGTTTTAAATTTTGGCGAATACACGACGAGAAGATGAGTTGTAATATTCCGAATAATAGCCAGTCGCGATGGGTCCGACGATTGGTCTCTCGATTTATGTTGAACAGTTTGTCCCAGGTACTCTTCAACAACTACGAGCGTTTTCTTTGTTCCCAAAAACTTATGGCATAGGTGTGGTATGGACGTTACACATAATCTTTGTCTCTTGTCCATGTTAATATTAAGACCATTGGGAGACACTATTGAACTCATTGAGCTTAATACTAATGTACTCCAGCGATTATACCATAATGACTAAGTCGTTGGAAAATTGAAGGTAAGTTTTTATACCGCTACTATACGGTAAATCTTCTTGTCATAATAAATAATTTAAATATTTAACATAAAATATTTAAATGATACACCTAAATATAATTTTTTTTTAATTTATTAACAATTGCATGCCGTAAGCGCAACGCGCATAGGTATGTTCTACTAGGGCCTAAAAATTAAGATTCTAACGTTTTGTCGCATGAAATCGTATCTAGCAATCATGTTGTACATATAAGTGATATAAAAAACACATTGTCAGCACATTTTTAAAATCGATTAATTGCTATTTTTAAATAAAAAAGGGGTTTAAGTGGCTTATGGTGTGGATCTACCAAGTCCGCAAGGCTTGTAAATTCGATAACTTTTAAAAATATCTATTGTTCAACTCAATATATTTTTAAAACTCTTCATCTATTATGTGGAAAGCCATTGAATGTAAATGGCAGTTTAATTATGTTTAGTTTAGTTATAATAAATTCTTTTCGGCTGCGAAATGGCGAAATTTTCGGTGTTTGATCAGCCTTGTGTGAAATCATGTTAGTAAATAGACTGCGTCACTCGGTTAGTACGGCATCAACCGCCGTTGTGAGTGGATACTGTATTGGTTGTTTGCAAAAATTTCAAAAAGATTGCTGTACAAATAAATACAAAATATCCGAAAAACAAATTTCTTACTATTTTATATTACTTGATTATTATAATAATCAGAGATTTTTATTACAATATTTTAAAAGGACAGAATAAATAATGTAGTACGTACTAAAAGTAAGTAGGATGTAATGTTTATACTTAAATACGTCTTGGACTTTATGGAGTGACCTGAATGATGATATGATGATCATATGAGTATTATGAGTCGTGCACTTTTGGATTTTCCAAACATTTTTTCAAATTGAAGTTTAACATAAAATTATCGGAAAATTGGAAGTATAATAAGGTTATTAGTGAAAACTTGTGTGTATTTAAACTACTTTAAAAAAATTCCGTATTATCATGTTATACGTAATTTTTTTAATGCGATTAGGGCATGCTCAGTTGGATTTACCAATAGTTTTTTATTTTACTTTTCTTACAAACAAGTTGTAATTTAATTAGTTATTTTGACTAAATGAAGAAGAAACCATCGCTCACATGCCTAAATATTCAAACGCTGCCCAATTTTAGAACGCTGTTAAGGTTTGTGCTGCGTCTATCACTTTAATTCAAAGTAAACGTCACACCACGAGACTTAACATTTTAAAATTGAATAGCTTTTGATTACTTAGCCATTAGTCGTAAAAAATAAAGAACTATAATAACATACAAGTGCCAAATAGCAATAACGAGATCCAACAGACTTCGATTCTGCGGGTCAGTGGAGAATAGAAAGTGTGTATCCGCAGTGTTATATATTATTAAAATAGTTCTACAAGTCGTGTGTCCATTACCGTTATAGCTTATCAAAAGTCTACAGCTGAACATAGGCCTCCCACATAGATTACATCTTAGTAGCCTTGCTTAGCAGGCAGATTGACAACCACAGTTTTTTTGATTTTTTAATTGTTATTAGGATGACACTACTGCCCATCTCCTGGTTTGTTTCCCTCTGTCACTTCATACGGCACCCACGGACGGTATTAGAGTATGGCTCAGTTCCACATTTAGATACTAGGTAATCTATAAAGTTTTTAATTGCTGATTAATTCGTATGAATTACGTCATCTACATAATGTAATATATATGTAGATATTGGACAAATTGTCGTTTATATTGTATGGCTATTTATAGAAAATCTGTGAAAACTTTCACACTCCTCAAATCACTTTCATATTGTTTCATAGGCAATATTCTTCTTTATTAATGAATTATATTAATAGTTAACTAAAAAAAATGTAGAATTAAATCTCGAATTTAAAAAAATATGTGTCGGAGCGTCTATAAAATACCGGTTGGATCGAGGTGGAATTGACGGTATATCGAGAAACCCCCACTTTTTTGTGCAGTATAAAATTCACTGTAGGCGCCGTGCGGAAGGATTCCCCTTAAGACATTCTAAGAGTGTAGTTATTCTACTAGTGCTAAGATAGTGTCGTGGTTCTGTCCGTTTTTGTAATTCTTCTAGTGCAGGCAAAGAGGATTGGTGTTGCTGAGAGGCTGCCCTGTGTTACACTGAGATAAGTAGTGTTGCTGTTGGTTTGCATACTTTGGTGTTATAATGTAATTACGTACTTTACGTTACACTGGTGTGTGATTGTGGCGGAAACGTGTTACGGTGTGGTCGAACTGTGATTTCACTATATAGAATGTATAGTGCGTTACGTTGTCTTATTACTGATAATAATTAATTGCGTAAGCAAAAAAGCAAGTTGAACATCCGCTCTCACAATTTTTTTTATTTTTAACAATTAACGCTATCCTGATTTATTTCAGAGACCACAAGTGGGATCCTCTCTTGAATCTCCGACATATGTATAAAAGAAGCTAAAACCCATAATGTATGGTCCTCATATGTCTCACAGTATCTACCAGATTTCGGATAGTAAATTATCATAAAACGTTTACTGACAGTAAAGAACTTGTAACGCTTATTTCATAAACAACCTATTACGTGTTTTACATAGAAATAATCACTCGTTAGTTCTCGTGGTAGTGCAATGCTGTATCTGTATTAAGGAAAAGTGAAAAGCGTAACTAGCAAACTGACACCGGACGGTCACTCACATAGGACTCGATAGACATAGGATACAGTTAGGTTAGATTAATAATTATAGTTATAATAATTTCGTAATAGTAGCACATTGTATATACACTTTATTTCATTATGTGAGGTGAACTTTATGTTGTTGCACAGAATAAATAAGTTGTAGTTTAACAGGATTAAGAAAAAAATAGGTTAGGATTAAAACAAGATCTGGGGGTCAAATTTTCTTTCCTGTATTCTTACTGGTAAGACAACTGGGAAAATTTCGTGGCACGGTTTTTTTTATAGAATTAAGTGACAAGCGAGCATACATAACAATACCAGATGGTAAGTGGTTACTGTGGCCTATAGACATCTTTCATAGAACATACAAATGTAGATGCGTCTGCCGTGAATACTAAGATGGAATGCCTCTTTTCCAGCAAAAAGGGTATTCGGTTCTTTACACCCACCATACGACGAAACACAGCAGCATTAAGCTGCTATTTTACGTTGGTATTCTTTGAGAGCGTGGTCCTTCCCCGGTCGAGCCGACCCATTCGCGCTACAACTATACAATTAATATAGCTGCAGCATGGCTCTACCACGTGTAAATGGTACATTCGCTATAGTTTTACCAAATGTCCTACTAGTGAAACTATTGGGAATTTTCTTACCAACTAGACGTAACTTTTAAGTCGGTTCATCTCCGTTTATAACAATTTGTGACATCAATTAGCTGTCGGATTGTATTGAGATTCATAAAACATAAGTTTACTCGTAACATCACGAGCCCGTAACAGAATTTTTAAGTTTTTTTTTATAAAATTAAAGTGAACAACGAACTTCAGTCCACCTGATGGTAAGTGGCTACTGCAGCCCAGAAGAGGCTACCGATGCGTTTTCACTTCTAAGGACTAATGTGGAATGCCCCGCACTTTCAGTCCGGAACACAATATTGAACGCATTGCTATTTGGCGGCAAAAATAGGTTGGGATCTACCCAGACGTACTTATATGCAGAAAAGAAGTAACTAGGAAGGAACTCGATATCGAATGAAAACTGTCAAATAAATTACAAGGATTTTAGGTTGGGCATCCAGCCATCTTCTCTATTGAAATTAAAATATTCTTTAATTAACAAGGCTAATTTTTTTTTTGGTAACCAATGAGTACACAGTACACCGGTGTAGTGTGGGTGCCGCTGATGTCGTGGCCCATATACTTTTACATCATCGATTATAAGAACCAAAATGCTGATGCGTTAACATCTCTGAGGAGTGAGACGGATCGGGTACTAAAAAGATCTCCAGTACTAGTTACCCATCATACTAATCACAGAAGCATTGCGCTGCTATTTTACTCTGTATGTACGTGGTTTTCTACACTCATCATACGAAACACAACAACAGTAATTGGTATTCTGTGAGAGCATAGTCTTTCCCTGTTCGAACCGACCCATTCATGCTACAGCGACGTACACCGCAACATATCTGTACCGCGTAAAGTCGCAAATTAAATACGTCGTAACAATGAAATCGAACAGCATAAAAATAAAAGATCAGAATGTTAGTAATTTTATATACACAACTAAGTACACGCACAATGTTCTTGTACAATTATATTAATGTGTGCTGGTTACTCCCAACTGCCACAGTATAAACTATGTTCACTCTTAAAACTGTTTAGGCACGATCATTATGTATAAAAGTTACATATTGGTATTAGTATAAAAGTTACAGATAGTATTTTTAAATACTTAATCTAATCTCATAATACCTTAACTTTTTATGCTCTATTGCTATTGTACGCTGTGGCGGTTGAAAACGTCCAGGGAACATAATATAGGCGAAAGTGATTCCTTTGCAGTACACTTGAAGTGGGCAGTGGGAAGTAAGAGTTAAAGTCTGGTTTAAATGCCGGCATAGCGATGTGTGGAGACATCATCTTCGGAGGCCGCTTCGTAAGGCACGCCGCAGCAAAATAGTTGGCGCACCGTGCGGGAGATGCGTGACGACCGTGATTCGCTGCGTGGCAGCCCGCCCGCTTCCTCTTCATCTGACTACAACGTTAAACAGAATTAATCCGCGAGTTCATCAGTCAAGCTATCTATACCGTATCTTAATGACTTTAGAATCATGCAAGTTCAATAGGCAATGGATTCCTAACTTTTTAATGAAAAAAGTAAATACCAATATGAACAGTTTCTTTTTTCTAATATCAATTACACAATATCAAATATTGTAAAGGCAACAAGAAAGAGCGGGCTGCCGCGCTAGCTCACAGCTTATACTAATAAAACATTTCTAACGTGGGATTCTATTAATTAATTACAAGTAAATCATTCAATTAACAGTCTGGAAATATTTACCCATTCAGAATGTTTCTTAGAAACTTCGGGCGTTCGCAACTCCGCAATCTCGTCTTTGATACTATCCTCTTCTTCCTTATCCGCCTCCTTGTCCGAAGCAATGCGTGATTCCTTCACTGGCTCTTGAGATGGCAATGGTTGCGGTGGTACTGTTATCGTTTCTAACTAAAAAAAATGAAACCACTTTAGAATGTCACTAAATTGACAATTTTAACGTTTATAGGCCAACAGTGAGCAGTAGAAGTTTTAAAAATTAACTTGCTTAAAATCAAAACAGAGACGAGCGTTATCAAATTTCAAGAGTGACGATTAGTGCTATTTTTTTTTCAACTTAAATGAAGTTTCGCAGTACAGGCTGATTAAATATGTGGGGTTAATTGCTTAAAGAATAGTAAAAACAATATCACATTAATCATTCCTGCCATTGTATACACGGGCAAAAATGTCTAGGAACAAAAACAAATATCTCTAGATCACACACTACAATGTTTCAGTAAAAACTAAACCTTAGGCAATCTGATTCTGAATAGCTTTTTATATAATTAGTGAGAAAAACGAGCACACAGTCCTCCTGATGGTAAGTGAATTATGACGGCCCATAGATACCTGCATCTATCTTCCATTCAGAATCAAAATGTAGATGCGTTGTCACCTCTGAGAATTAACGCAGAGTGCCTCGTTACCAGAGTTATCGGGGAGAGTATTCGGTTTCTACATATAAGTACACAAGCATGAAGCTGCTACTCCACACTGGTATTCTGTGAGAGCGTGGTCATTTCCTGGGCGAGTCGACCCATTCGTGCAACCACAATATAGCTGCAGCGTGGTTTTACCACGTTAATTTATTAGCGCTAAATTATCATAGTTTGGAGGGAATATGCCAACTTTTATCTAACTCTCAACCTACCTTGTATACCATATCCTACTAATTTAATTATGTCGCTCTGACGACCGACGCAACCGGCGAAATTTGATTAAAAATTATGAATCCAAATACCAAACGCCAGGTGATACGGAGCAGTATTACATGTTCAAGGGTTTCAGCTTAGTCGTCACCTTACCACCTGTCTGAATATAGGCAATTCTTACCAGAATCACATCACAATACTTGTAAAGACGAATATTTTGTCGCGTCAAAATCGTAAAACCTAAGAACCTGTTAGTGCGCCGTAATTAATTATAAAACATGACTACATTTAATGGCACTTATGCACGAACAGAGTCCATAATTTTTAAATAATATAGCGTTATCTGTACATTTCACAGGTTCGCGTGATACACATAGGTTTATTTTTTATATTTGGCCAAGCACGTGACAAACAATCGACCATACCTTCGTTTCCACTTCTATAGGTGCTAACGTAATTGTTTCGGGCGATATATCACGCTTTTTGGTGTTTGAAGATAACTTCTTCGCTAACATCTGCTTTTGTTTATCAGAAGACATGGCTGAAAGGATGACATTGAATTAGCATTCGCCTTTAAAATAAACGATAGAACATAGTTCGATCCTAATTGCTAATCAATAGAGATCGATATTTTTCAAATGGGAAGGAAAAGCGCCGTTCCACTGTTTTATAGGCGTGCGCAGACCAAATGGTTAGATATACGTGAAAATAATGTAATATTCTACAAAAATTGGGTATAACACAATATCCTTATTGAAAACTAGCTTTGCCTGGTTATGATTTATAAATGTGGCGGTATTTAGGTATAAGACAATTAAAGACCATTTATTTTATCAATAATTACTCGTTTTTTTTTTTAAAAAAATATTCGAATAAAATAAATACAGCCTAGATCCTTCCTGACATTTCTCTCTATATGTTCGTAAAGTTGCATCACGATTGGTTCAACCATTCGTGATGACAGAGAGATAGACAAAAAATTTAAAAATGGTTGTTAATAGCATGCAAATAGACCCTGAACCTAATAGAAGCAATTCATATCAACATTACAGATTCGTTTTATTTAAATGTATAGATAAAAAAGCAAAAAGAGATCATCGTCTGTCAGTCAATTTTTTAAGTGATTTTCATTCGAAATTTATATTGTTATTGTTTTGGCGTTGTTGGTTGTGTCTGTAGGGTTTGTCTACACTTTTATTATTTAAAATTATAATTTAATATGATATTGGTAATAAATGATAACGACTATTTGATATGAATGCTTGAAGTGTACTCCTCGCCGAGTACTGGGCGTTAAAGTGCTGTGTTATTAAGACGGCTAGATTAACAAATTAAATACATATATTAAGTCATTTTGAAATATGTACGTTTGACCATATAATGTCCGAGCGCCAAATTTTATTAAGTAAAGATTATAGCTAGCTAATGTTACTCTTTGACCATCAACAAAAAGTGACAACGCATCTGAAGCTTTCTTTGTTTGAGGTTGGTTGCTAGTATTCATAGACTACAGTAGCCATTTACCATCGTCCACCTGATGGTAAATTTCTAATGTAGTAAGTTCGATTGTACCTTATTTTTTTTTATAGGATAAGGGTGACAAACGAGCACACAGTCCACCTGATGGTAAGTGGTTGCTGCGGCCCATAGACATCTACATCTAACCTCTGTTACAAATCAAAATGTAGATGCGTTGTCACCCGTGAGGTCTAAGATGGAATGCCTCATTTCCAGTAAAAAGGGCCTACGGCCACCTGCACTCACCAAGCGAAACGCAGAGGTAAGCCTCTACTACACGCTGGTTTTCTGTGAGGTCGTGGTACCACCCCGGTTCGAGCCGGCCCATCCGTGTGACAGCAAAAGCTGCCGCGTGGCTCTACCACTGTTATAAACTGTTGTCAGGATCTCTGATTACCAAAGTTTGTTTGTTATCTCCGTTCGTAACCAACCACAAAACAGGGACGGACAGGGACACTGTTTGAGTAGCTGTTTAAAAAATTACCACTAACTTAGTCTATACATTAGTAAGGATATTATTATAAATTAAAAATGTAAAAAAACTATTTTACCACGTTCAGATTCCTTTCTTTCTTTAATCTCGGCATTGTTGCTGACATTAGAATCTTCAGATATTTCTTTCAACTCCTCAGCTACAGCTGTGATTAATCAGACAAAATTTAACAACTCCATTACTTATTTGAAATATTTAAAAATTGCATATAATCATATTGTTTCCTAAACATGGTGAAAATTTACGTATAGGATAAAAACATTAAAGCTTATATAGTATTTATAAATAATGAAGATTAAAGGTAAAGAGTTATATCGTTCCGATACAGGCTCACAATATCGGTCCACTGGAATATATAGAGCGACATGACACCTGTATATATCTTAGACATGTCAGTACCACATTAGCTCACCACAGAATCATCCCGATAAAATCAAGAATGTGAGACGTACGACGATATACACAGAAACATGTTTGCGTGATCTACTTGACATTAATTTCCAAGGTTTTTACATATTAATTAACCAACCTAAATATAAAAATTTAAGCTGTTTGCTTATAATTAATTTATATCCAAAACTTTAAATGAGCAATTCTTGTATATAAATTAACCTAACTAAAGAGATGTACCTTATTGGTTCCTCGAAAACAGCGCTAATTGTGGATTAAATTCTGTATTGAAATAATGATTTACATTGCATTGCATTTTTTCTAACACCGGCCAAAGCTCGTTAAACCAGGTTATTATTTATTAATACGTGAACTTCTCCAATAATGTTTAATAAGCTCTTTCAGTTTCACCTTAAAAATTAGATATAACCAAAATTGTTTAACGACTTTTCTTTTTTACGAGTTAAGTAAAGCATATAATATAATTAATATAATTTGTTGTCTGGCATGTTGCATAAATTGTAATATTATACAATCACAATATGGCAATCTAGTCTAGGCATAAATTGGTATCATACCGTAAAATGAAATGAAAAAAACTTTTTGATAATATCGTTGTCGGTGAGGTAAGTCGATGACAATATATCGTTACCAGTATCGACCGATAAAAATACGCTCCAAGGCTAACGAAATAATATACTAAGCTTTTACTATAAAAGCAAATAATTCGATTAAAAGTCATATTTACAGTCACATGACTGCACTTGTCACACAAAATTTGGTACAACGCCTAATAATTATTAAAGGGCTTTTTTATTGCTAATCTATGCTCCTGGAATTTTCTTTTCTCATATTTGCGTGATAACCACGATATAGAACGTGAAAGGAGGACTCTGGCTGTGCGGTGTAATATACTCGCACGCCGGTATGCGCGGTGCAGTCCCAAGGCAAGGATGACCCTGTTTGGAGGAGCATATTGTCAATGCTTCTATACTTGTCAGCTTTGGTTGGACAATACAAAAAATGCACGTAGCAGCATTAGAGTGCAGTATAATAATGCATTCCTCATTCTTATGAAACTGCCTAAATACTGCAGTGCGTCGAGCATGTTTGCCAACGCCGGGGTGCCCGATTACTTCGCCGTTATTAGATCTCGGGTTGCAGCTTTTTGGTCCCGCATCCGTGATTCCGAGAATGAGATACTCAGGGTGTGCTACGAGTGCCCAGAGAATCCCATACTACAATAATGACGTGCCGTGCATCGCGACAATAACTGTAAATAAATAGAACGAACTCACTTTTGGGGGCAATTTTAGTATTTTTAGTATTAAACTATGATTATAGTTGAATTGTGTAAAAAAGCCTAAAATAAATGACTATTATTATTATTATTATATTTGAAATTGGAGGTTAGCCCTAAGCCCAAGGCTGCTACTACTACTTCCAATACCCAAAAACTCTATTAAAAGTTTCAATAACAATTTGTGCCTAATAAAACTAGAGGAAGTTCACAACCAGCTATCACATTAACAAATTCTGCGAAGAAAGTTGTACTCAACATATTGTTTTTCAATATTAGGACTTGGTTCTCAACACTAAATCAATATCAAGTATGCTAATGCTAGTATTAGTGAAAATGGCGTTAAAACATACAAGGTACTGCAGGCGCTCGGGACCTTTTGTGGTGTAGTTCAGGTGTCTCTTCTTGTAACTCAGTGGGGCGGTAGGGTTGCTTGTGTCGACTTTCTGACGTCTGCTCCACCATTACTACGGACGGACCGCCGGTAGCGGAACCACTCTTTTTTTCTTCCTCTGACATTTTCGGAATCACTAATGCATCTAGACGTAAAAGAAACCTTTATTTTACACGTTTGTCACCAAAAAAATAGTAACAATATTGACCAAAGTACAAATTATGAAATGTCACGCGTTGCAATTTTGACAGTAATTTTTTTGTTTTATTGTATTTTCTATTTTTGAAATGTGATGTTACAAATAAGTATTTTACGTTATAGACTACATAAAATATTTAACATAGCTAATTATTTTTTCGGCTGTTTTTTCAATAGTCGGATATAAGTTATCAATCGAATAATATAAAAAAATATAAAAATGAAACAAATTATTACACTCCTATAACTGTATAATTTAATTGGTTATTTTATAGCATAATTGGTCAATCAGACCTTACTTTGTTTTTTAGCATATTAATTCTAAATTAAGAATATTAATTGTTTTTCCCAATTACAAAGACTGTTCCTAAATTTATACTACATAGTGACGGCAAAAAAGGAATTTAGTTTTTCAGGTGTTTTTTGATAAAACTTCTTTCAGCTCAGATTAGGAATCATATGAAGAATAAAAACGTCACTCAATTCCGGGTTGACAATATATTACGATTTTTTTTATCTTTACAAATTCTTGAGTTATTACGTATAAATTGTATAAAAAATATTAGTTTAATATGTTGGGGAGAAAGAAAATAAAATGTAATGGAAAATAAACAGCCTCCATTTAAAAATAAATTATTACATACAACAGAAGAAAAGTTCGTTCGCAAAATTGACTACGATTCTTTAAACCAAATTTCAAGTGATTCGTTAAACAATCATTTATATTTAGGTTAATCTTACGTAAATATTATAATTTAATTTTTACTACACTCAATAAATATAATGAATGTTTTCATTTTTAGATTTAGAAATAATTCAGAATCGTCCCATTGATTTAAAACCATCCCAGAAAGTACTGGTTTCCATAAAACCGAGGTCTCATGGTATCAAAACATTATACATTGCTGAAAAAGATAGATTTAATACTAAAAAGGTAAGATTATTATGTCTAGTATATTTTACGTTTAATTTTTAAAAATTTTGTAAATTAATTATTTACAGCGTTCACATAAAACGGGGTCACGTCTAGCCATTGGAGATCACGTATCTTTACCTACGCGTAAGTTAATCGATACCACTTTTATAGATAGTATTTTAAAGATTTCATTATTCACTGATACAAATAATTACAATTTTGTAGATTCAGCTAATTGTGAGGATAATGAGAGTGACGTTTTAACATATAAATATAGTAACAATCAAGAATCTTCAACAAGCCAGAACAAAAGAAGTTATTCAGGAATTTTGTCGAAATGCTTAGATTCTGTTTCTTTATGTCAAGAGTGTAATCTAAGTAATCGACAAATAGTTTCTAATGAAAAATGTTATTTGTACGCCCAACCTCATCAAATTATGAACCTTCCTAAGATTAATAAATTGGCAGAAAATCAGAATAAAACGCAAAAAGTTGATAAAGAAACGGTCACTGCAACGAAATCATCGTCTGAGGATATATTAATTTCTACTCGTATTATAAAAAAGTTACAAAAAAGAATAAATTATTTGGAACGTAAAATTTTAAAACAAGAAATGGTATTTCGATCTATTGATCCTAATTTAACAACATCTTCATCAGATGAGGAAATGAAAGAAAATATAATGAGATCTGTCTCTATTACGAATCCTCCTGGATGTAGTTACATAGAGCAGTACAGCCATATTCCTGAAACATCAGCCTTTCAGAGATACACACAACAATCTACGTCTGCGTCTGTTAATAAAGCTACAAATATTGCTAAGGGCCATAACTCAGAACAATATGGCCGCGATTTCACTGCTTATGATGGTATAACTGCTCGTGGCAGGCGTCAAAGCTCTTCTGTTCCAGGAAAACGGGATGACATTCCAAAAATGGCTGCTGAACGAGTTCATAAGATTCGTCACAAATTAAATCCTGTCCGTGATTATAGACTCATGGATACTGTTCACTATTTAGCACAAGGTGAGTTCGCACCAAGGGATGATGGTATAAAATTGACACCTTCGCGAGAAGCAGTACTAAGTGACATTATATGGGAAGATGTTTGTCGGACGCATTGGCCTAATGCACGACTTGGACGTCGTCAGCATTCGGATCGATATAATAGTAGATTCGAGTTGCAGCGCCTTATCGATAATCTCCTCAGAGAAAGGGTTGCACATGTTGAAAGAAGACGCCGACGTCATTATAGAATTGTAAAACTTAACCACAGGCATGAAAGCTGTAGGCCAGTTGGTAAAACTGGTGACATCATTGTGGCCAGTCACAAAAGTCGGCAGTCAATTGAAGACAGAGATATTCCAGTAGCAAATAAAAAAATTGCCAGTGCCGTCCTAACAAATAATAAAGACGAGGAGCACAATCCTCGGAGGAACCAAAAAAGTCATGATCGACTCACATATCCGTGGTCACGTAAGAAACGACATAAGCAAGATGACTGTTCACCTGGACCCAGTTCAGCTGTATATCATTCCGCAACCAGAAAAGATCCAACTTGTAATCAAGCTACTAATCCCAGTAACACTACAAAGTATAAAGAAGTGAAACATGAAAATGTCAAGGAACAAATAAGCGATAATAATATATCTACCAGCAAAGTGAATACAAAAACTCCCCGCTTGTTAATCAAAAAAGATTCTTTGCGTCGGAAACATTCTGCTAAAAATAAACCAAATTTGGAACGTTACATCCTATTGCCGACCTTAGTAGTACGCACTCCTTCAAATGTAAAGCGCCAGAAGAAATTCAATGAATTATACCACCGCGTGTTAAATGTGCAACTTAATAATGGTAATAATCAATCACAGTTTACATTTACTTTTGAAGTTTTTTGATTTAATTTTCATTCATAATCCTTTATTTTAGAGCAAAATGATGGTATGACCTCGGAAAGTACTCAAAAATGTCTTAACCCAAGCAAGAAAGACATTGGTTTAAATATCAACGTCATTTTATCCAGCAGCGAAGAAGATTTTAATCGGAACTAATATTTTTTTCTAATATTTAGAAATGCAATACATTTAAAACTTTTATAGGACATATTTACAAATATATCTAGCTATATTATTATCTAGCTATCTAGCTATATATATTATTTATGGACTTAAATAAACACACATATTTATGAGATTATTGCGTTTTATTTCAACACATTAACTTGATGGTAACTATGAAGATAATAATATAATATTAAGACATCGGCCTAAACAGTCATTTATGAAAGCAAAAAATATGATATTGTATGTATATTTGGCAGTACTAAAAATACTGAAGTCAAAATTCAATTTTGTATACATAAGTTTATATTCTTAAGTAAGGTTTTCATCATCGTTGCACCTCTGCTGCATATGTTCCGTAAGTTTCCCCTAAAATCTTGACTGGCATAAAGCACGGTCCTCAGTCAGGTAATATACCAGAAAATATACAAAATTTGACCTGCTCAAAGTTCAAAAACTTTATTAAACTAAGTTTGTATAAAAAGGGTGATTATAATATTAAGGAATTTATGGATGATAATAACCTCTGAGAATGAGGTGATCGCTACCAAGCTATTTCTAATTGTTTTGTGTGGTTAATTGTGATTACATGATTGTAAGCTGTTATTTAAAAAAAAGTCCCGCTGGGCTTCTTGCTGGTTCTTCCCAGAATAGAGTTTTTTTTTCGAACCAGTCGGTAACTAAAAAGAGTGACTTTCAATAAGTATTATTTATAATCTATATTGAATAAAAAAGTTTCTGTTTCTGTTTCAATACAACAGAGGAGACGATTTTTCCTCTTTCCTGAAAAATAAAAAATCATATCAATACTCTTGTTGACTGAATTAGGTCATAATTATTAATGATTAAACGAACTTATCTGTAAGTGGAGTTCTCTCATAATTATGTGAGGTGTTTCGTTCGAAGAGATTAGATAACACAGGTTAGTCCCACATACAATGTCGCCATCTATGCACTTAGTTTAAAATTAAAATAAAACAAGACGGTAGATTAATATTACTTCATGGTTGCACTGCGCTCTATTTATCATTTAGTTCAGAGTAAAGAAACGACATGATATTTCAGGATATGAGGGTTAAAAATAAACATGGCGGGAGGGATGCTAATGCCTTCGAACGAAACACCTAACATAATTATGATAGAACTTCACTTACAGGTAAGTTCGTTTAATTATTAATAATTAAGATATAAGAGTATTGATATGATTTTTTATTTTTCAGGTAAGAGGCAGAATCGTCTCCTCTGTTGTATGGAAACAGAAACAGAAACTTTTTTTTATTCAATATACATTAGTGTTTCATTCTCGAGATTAGATAACACAGGTAGATATTGAGAGTTAATTGTGAAATATCCCAATAATATTAAAGAACTTCGCAAGAGTTGTGGATGCACCCGTCCAGCCGGCAGTTTTCCTTATTATATTTAAGTTGACACTTAGTTTATGGGCTCGTGGTGAGAGGTGCTGGCGTGCGTAGTAATGCGCACAGAATGTAGTAACGTCAACACCGCTAACCTCCAACTCTTTATCCGTCTAGTTTACTACTGCGTTTAAACAGAAGCCATATATATATATATATAATTATATAGGCTCTTTGTGATAGTGTAGTGTGATTATTACGCAGATATTTGGTAACATTTAAGTAATCGGAAAACAACTTAGCCTGACACATTTCGAGTCTTTCTCTAAAGTATGGAAGAATAATGGTTGGCTGATTAAAATTAGCATGAGATGTTTTTGTCAAATCGTTTAAGTTATATTAGTAGAAGTTTCGTCGAATAAAATTAAGGCATCACCAGTGCTGTTGTTTGCATAGCAATGAATGTTACTAGTTTGCAACATATCATTGATATGCAGGGGAAACAGCGTTGGTGATAGCACGCAGCCTTGTGGAAGTTTCTGAATTTATGATACATCTGGGATTTATCATAAATTCCAATACAAATTTAATAT